AACCCGTAACGGACACCAGTCCCGTTACGGCTTTTGCACCAAAAACTATTACTAAACAAATTTAAAAGTCCCCCCAAATGGGGAGGAAGGCACTAAAAAATTAAAATATATACTTAAATATAATAAAATATGTGTGTGTAATTAGTGTGTGTATAACTTACCCGAGAAAACGCGAAGAAACGGCTACAATCACGTTTAATCACTTTCCCGCTTAAAGAATTTAATGAATTAAATTTAAAGGAATTTAAAAACTGTAAAAAAGACGCCCGACCTTGTTTGTGTACGATAACGTAGACGCGGGGCCACGCAAGGAGCCTGACGGCTGCCTGACTCGACGGCAGCCGGCCTAAACCTACCTTAGGTGGAGCGAAATACGGTCTACAAACGCCTGGCACACAAAGAGGAATTTAAATTATTGCAAAAAAACCCGAGTCTATTTTTGGAATAACCCGACGCGATGAACTAACGGTATTCTCCACTGAATTAACAGTTTCGAATACCGGGTAACTAAATGATTTTTCTAAACGAGACTAACGTTAGGACGTATCCTCACTTTATTTAAAATTTAATGAATTTTTAAATTTAAATTTAAGTTTAAAGTTTAAAATTTCAAGTTTCAAATTTCAAAATCGCAAAGGAAACACGGATCGGATGAGACGACTGTTAGCGTTCGTATAAGTTAATAGAATGACTGCCGACCATTCCGACCAGCCCGTCTTTTATATGATTCGGCCATTGCTGGCCAGCGGACCCTTGCCTCACCCCCGCGCCTTTCTTTATTTGGCAAATTTCTTATAAACTAATGTACAAACTTAAATATATTATATTTTTACAATTGCTTATTTAACTAGTACTTATATAATAATTTTTCTACATAATACAGGTTAATACGTTATTATTTCCGCAATTTTGAGCTGAGAACCCTGCCCCCCGCCTCAGCACTATAAATATAAAACGTCGTGGCGCGGCGCGCGTAGGCTCATTCGCTCCGCGGCCGCGTCACGGTAACATGCCCTGTTTATTAGTTATCGTGCCTAAGGGCTTAATATATATGAAATTAAATTGAACTATACAAGGGAATATACTTTACACATTATACTTATTCTATAATTTGGTATTGATTAATTTCTATATCCTAAATCTATGTTAACTCTCGCCAGTTGGTCGGTGCCTTTATTGCGAGAGTTATTCCATAGTCACAATATCATTCGTTTAACAATAAATGCTATATTTCTTAATATTAATGCTACGGCTTTTCCCGCGTTGCTGTGGGCAACCACCGCTAGTTGTGGAACCGTGAGCGCGCCCCGACGATCATAACATTCTCCTGGCTCCGCCCACCGTCCCCAGGTTCTTCAACTAGCGATGGCTACCACAAGCAATCCGTAAGTCATTTCGTTCGAGGCATTGCTATGTTTGCGTCGTGCACAATATTGTTTAATTTTAGTTAAAGTAAAGAAATCGTAGTACCTATGCCTATGCCTATAACCTTCGCGCAAGTGCAAGCAATAAATTGACAGTTTTAGCGCAATCGGATAGCCGATATGGCAGTGCATAAAACACGAACAAACAAAAATTTCATATATTAGATTGTATATTTGTTAAACCAGCATATCAAAAGCAGCGTCTTCCCAAGATCAACAAAAAAAATTAAAAAAATAAAACCTAAGACAAGCGTGTGGTAACTACGGCATAAGGGGATTATGGCAATAATGTATGAATGGATGGATGGATTCATTTTGTATGACAGGCCACGTAGTAAGTTTTGCTAGAAAAACGTTTTTTGTAAGAGCCTGTTATAACTTATTTACAAAAACAAAACAATTATTAATTACTAGCTTTTGCACACGGCGTAAAATTGTTTAACATGTGCCACGGCTACGCTCGCTGACACATCACACGGTCGCGATCACGAACCTATTGTGTTATTTCCATACATGAGACATGTATAAATATGTACTGTTTAGGAATAAATATACAATAAAATACGAATTACGTAGCAGGCAGTTTAATCGCTCAAAGCAGACTGACAATTCTTTCCCTACCCGCTTATATTATTATATTATCACTCTTTAAATACATCACAGTTCCCTCCACCAATAGTACAGAATTATATAATAAAATGTAAACTAAACTTTATACATAGGATTCTTATTTCTAGTAGAACGGACAACCCTTGAATGCTCTGTGACAGCCTGGTTGGACGTGGCCTGTACAGAAACAGATTCTGGAAGAGCTGAGTCTGTCAAGACATTACCAACCGCACTAACCGTATCACTCGGCCCAACGCTAACGATCCTCTCCTCCCCTAGTTCTAATTCCGGGGGCAATAGACCGCTACTTGAGGAATCGTTCATAGAATGAGTACATTGTAAGGTATTTTGAACATTTTGTTCTTTCGCTGTATCCCGAGCAGTTCCAGAAGGTGTATAATAATCTATGACGTCATTATCGGTATAAGAAATATCCGTATTTACGTCATCTTGTAATGTACAATTTCCTTTATAAGCTATTAGATGATCAATATGTTTTTTTAAACTTTTACATGATGTTTCAATTTTTACCACATACATTCTAGAGCCAACTTTCTTAACTATTCTTCCAAGTTTCCACACATGCTTGGAACCATTATTATAAAAACACTTAACTAATACTTTATCGTCAATAGCAAAAGAAGTTGTACGACGGCCCCCATACTGCTTACATTGAGAGATCTGTTGAGACAAAACATTTTTTTTTACGGCGGATGTCGATGACAGCGGTAACGATTCAGTAGTGACTGATAAAAGGTCGAGCCGACACCGCAAGGAGCGCCCTAACATTAATTGAGCTGGAGAAAAACCGGTAGTGCAATGCCGACTGTTCCTATAATCAAATAAAAATCTATTAATTTTTTTTGAAATAATTTGATTATTTAATCCATTTTCCTCTATAATTAATTTGATTCCTCTTTTTACAGTTTTAACGCTATTTTCTGCTTGCCCATTTGATTGGGGGTGATAAGGCGCGATAGTCAAATGTTGTATTCCATTAGAAACAAAAAAAATATTTATTTCATCAGAACAAAAATTTGTGGCATTATCCGATACTATGGTTTTTACTAATCCAAACCGACTAAATATCTCACATAGCTTAGTAATAATAGCCTCACTATTGGTACTAGTAAGTTGGTAGCATTCTACCCACTTAGAATATGCGTCGACTGCAATTAAAAAGTTCCTACCATATAACGAAAAAATGTCTATATGCAAACGATCCCATACCTGTGCCGGGTAGGGCCAGGAAGCAAGAGGTGTGCGCGGAGGTGCGCATCGAAACTTATTACACACTGAACACGACCCTATTTTTTCCTCAATATGCCTATCTATATCCACTATCTATATCTATATATATATATGGCCACCACATCCGGGCTCTGGCCTGCTCTTTGGTTTTTACCACGCCAAAGTGTGAAGAATGTAGTTCGTTTAATAGCTGCTCGCGGAATATTGACGGTATGATTACTTTGTGGCCCCGCAGGATACAACCATTTTCTAGGACTAACTCTGACCGACAATTAAAATATGGCTTTAATAAGGGATCTGACACTTTCCGAGGCCATCCGTTACGCATAAACTCTAACACTTTTATTAAAAGATTATCACGGGATGTTTCTTTTTTTATATCTTCCACAGTTATTGGTTTTAAAACTGAGTTATCTATAAAATTAATATACAATGTTTTATCAAGATCCGAGCATTCATTATCAATTTCGTTCTGTAATTGATTTACAGATCGCGATAAGAAATCAGCCACATTGCTGTCACCTCTAACATACTCTAATGTGAAATTATAGGCAGATAAAAAGATCGCATACCGTTGAAGCCGATTAGCCGCCATGTCAGGTATACCCTTTTTGTTTCCGAAAATGGTTAGTAAGGGCTTATGATCCTTCCTTAGGATAAACGGTACCGTTCGGCCATACAAATAATGGTGGAATTTTTTATTGCAAATATAATAGCGGTGGCTTCCTTTTGGATTTGAGCGTAATTGTATTCCGCCCGAGTGAGTGAACGCGAGGCATAGGCTACGACGCGTTCCGTGCCGTCAGGCTGACGCTGCGCGAGCACCGCGCCGAGACCGCTCGGACCCGCGTCTGCCGTCACTATAGTCAAGGCGTGTGTATCTCTTTACGGAAACGACTCACTGATACGAATCACTGAAGTGACACAAAAGATTGGTTCAGTAACATCGTTTCAAATGTATCATTTGTATCTGGAACAGTGAAACATTACTTTGCTCTTTGCTCATTTCGCGCGACGCGTCGCTTGCGAGGCGACTGAGCCACGAGCGAGAGAGAGAGACTGAGACAATGATTAACTTAACTATTGACTCACGAGTGGCGAGTGAGCGGGCGAAATAATTATAATTCACGGATTTTCGCTGACGTTATTCATGCACGTAAAAATTACCACTAAGGCGCTTATGTGTCAAATACTATACGGTCGTTTTTTGTATGTAACATTTGCATTAACAAGTTGTCATTTTACGTTGATGCGGCACTTGTCAAATTGTTTATAGTCATTAGCGCCTGTTTATGAAAACATACTGAGTTATGTTTAGGATTTCTTTACGTAGTGCGTGTTGTTGTGACTTTAATTTCTTCCTTTTCATCATAAAGTTTAGAGTTATGATACTTTACGAGTAAATTCTGTGTACATAGACATTGCTGTTTTGTGTAAATGGACATTTTTGTAAATAATGAATTGACATAGTGACATTTTTGATAAAGTATGAAGGGGAATCGATTTTATATACAATCTTATTACGGTACACAATAAATAATCTAAGCACTTATATTATTCAGCATTGTTGCCACATGACATTTCACGGATCAGTCAGTAATAAACGCCCGCGACGCAACCATTCTTTCTTTTATATCTTTTGAGTCGATGATACAAATGAGCCAAATGAAACATATCAGTGTTTCGGAACATTTCAGTGATCAAGATGCAAATGTTTCAATCCCAAAAATGATACACTTTGCCCACCTCCACTATAGTCGGCAGCGACGCGTTGTAGTGAGCCAGCACTCGGTCAGACGCTAGTTCTTTTTTTATCAATTCGAACGCCTTGTCATGCTCCTTACTCCAGTTCCATTTTTCCCCCTTTTTAAGTAAGGAATGCAAAGGCCTAAGTAATGCAGATGTATTCGGCACAAAACATCTATAATAATTAATCATGCCTAGAACTGACTTTAACTCGCTTACATTTTTAGGTCTACAGCATTTTAATATAGCATCTACTTTCTGTTTTGATTTTCGGAGACCCGTTTTATCGATAATAAAACCTAAATATTCAACAGAGTCTTTAAATAGTTCACATTTCTCTGATTTTAACCGTAAACCTGCATCCTGTAACCTACTTAATACTTGCTCTAGACGTTCCATATGTATTGCTTTTATGGGGCCCGTAACCAAAATATCATCAAGAAATATACCCATACCCTCTATACCAGCAAGTAAATTCTCCATAGTTTGTTGAAAAATGCTCGGCGCAGAACACAAACCAAACACTAATCTGGTGTACCTAAATAATCCTTTGTGAGTATTTATACAGGTTAATTCTTTCGTGTCATCTAAAACCAACTGATTGTATGCTCTAGAAAGGTCCAATTTCGAAAATTGTTCTCCCCCGTGAAGTTTAGCAAACAAGTCCTCAATGCGCGGCAACGGATAGTTATCCATAAATAAAACTATTCAATGTTACTGAAAAGTCGCCACATATTCTAATATCCCCGTCTGATCTTAAAACTGGGACAATGGGCGTGGCCACCCTTGAGTGATTCACTTTTTCTAAGATACCCAAGTCTAGTAAACGTAAACGATTCAACTCTTTTTCCACTTTAGGTTTTAAAGCTAAAGGTACAGGACGTGGTTTAAAAAATTTTAGCTCGGCGTCGGATTTCAATTTTAAGTGAATTTTAAACTTATTAAATGTTCCTAATTCACTTGAAAATAGCTTGGCATATTTTTCTCTTAATATACTGTCATAATTTGTGTTGATGGTCAGGTTGTTGCAATTCACTGTACATAACTGTAAATTAAAAGCGTTTATAAAGTCCCGCCCTAATAGTGCTGGTTGCTTATTATTTGTTTGAATAATAAATAACCTAATGTGTTCAATACGTGACTCGTACGTAACGGGTACCGTTATAAAACCTACAGGAGAAATTTTGCTACCATTATAGCAATTTAGTATTACTTTGCTTTTATTTAGGTTATAAATATTCTTAAAATAGTTTTCATAAACTCTAAATGGTAATATCGACACTGCACTACCACTATCAATTTCACAAACCAATCCAGTCTCACCTATGAAAACCATGTGGCGCATCGGCTCGCCTTTATTACACTTAATAGTAAATAGATCATAAATACCTTGAACGATGTCATCGTCATTCGCTGCGATATAGTTATTAGGTTTAATTAAAGATTTTCACATTCTACGAAGATGCCCTTTTTTATGGCACTTCTTACATGAATAACTCGAAAATCGACACTGATCTTTGCTATGATTTGAGTAATCACAAACACTGCACTTGTTTACACCACGGGAATGCATCGCGAACACATCCTGAGGAGATGCGGGAACGCCTAGTTGTGAGGTGACGCTAGTGCTCTGCATAGCGAATCTCGCACACCGCACACTCTGTGCCAGCTCCAGGGCCCTGCTAAAGGTCAAGTCCATGATACTCTCAGCAAATAACTTTTCTCTCTCCTTTACGTTTTCCAAACCCAGGACAAAACGGTCTCTCATTGCCGTCTCCAGCTCAAAAGTGAAGCCGCAGTACTGAGACAGGCTACGCACCCGCGCGGCCCACTCCGCCAAGTCCTCGCCAGGTCGCTGCTCTGCTCGATAAAACTTGTATATCTCCGCAAATGAACATTTTTTTGTGACAAAATGTACACTTAACTTTTCTAGTAGTACTTTGTACTCTATGTTTTCTAATTCAGTTGGAAAGGCAAGATCTCTTGCCACCCGATACGTATCTTCCACCAGCGCAGTTAGTAACAGGGCCCGTCGTTTCACACCAGACTTATCCGATTCCTCGGTGATGTTATTCGCAGTACAGTACTGCTGAAAACGACTTTTGAATATATTCCACTCCTGTACGCGGTGGTCGAAAATAAGACTGCCGCCAATATTAACGTTTCCGCCATTTGCCATCTTTATCCAATCGACTTAATTTATATCACTGTAAGTCGAAACAACTTTAATACGCGTGAATTACTATATCGTCGCCAAATTGTACTGTTTAGGAATAAATATACAATAAAATACGAATTACGTAGCAGGCAGTTTAATCGCTCAAAGCAGACTGACAATTCTTTCCCTACCCGCTTATATTATTATATTATCACTCTTTAAATACATCACAAAATAATATTATGTAATTACAGAAATGCGCTCCAGATCTGTCCCAAAAGAATATGCCTATGTCACTCTCCGGCCCATAAACTATCAGTTGCAAAAACTCATGTCAATCCATTGCCCCGTTGCTGAGTGAGAGAGGGACAAACTAACAAACACATTTTCGCATTTATAGTTATACTAGCGACCTGATGATCTATCAATATCGATTTATTTAGATTTAAGGTTTAACTGTTCCAAAAGTAACCAACGCCTAGCAAAGAAAAGCGCAGGGGGGGGGGGGGGGGGGCAACAAAAAAGTAACTTATCCAACTCCGTATCATACTGCAGTGGAAAATAACAGCGCTAATATTCTGCTAGTGCGCTTATCTTATACTAAAACTTTCCTATAATTTAAAAATAATTAAGATAATAGTTTAAACAGTTCTTCAAGATAACGAATATACCTAATACATCAATTATTAAAACATTATTCTCGTAAACAGTAACTTCAAAAAAGTTAAAAGTTTCGGCCTATGGACGCTTCACTGCTGGGCACAGGCATCCAGGCTACAAAGGCAGGAAAATATCACCCCTTTCTATGCTTAATTTTTTTCCTGTGAATTTATTTCTAACTACTTACTGCCTCTATAATAATCAAGTTATACTTTTTAATTAAAATTGATTAATAATTAACAATTATCTACGTGGTAGAGCCATGCTGCAGCTATATTAGTAGTATAGTTGTAGCACGAATGGGTCGGCTCGACCGGGGAAAGACCACGCTCTCACAGAATACCAGCGTAAAATAGCAGCTTGACACTGCAGTGTTTCGTATGGTGAGTGTAGAGAACCGGAAACCCATTTTACTGGAAACGAGGCATTCCATCTTAGTCCTCACGGGTGACGACGCATCTGCATTTTGATTCCTTATTGAGGATAAATGTAGATGTCTATGGGCCGCAGCAACCACTTACCATCAGGTGGACTGTGTGCTCGTTTGTCACCCTATCCTATAAAAAAAAAATTCACTACCTATATGGATATGTCCTAAAATGTTCAACACCTTGTCAGTGAATTCAGGGTACTTATTAAAGCGAAAATTAGCATCGTTGTGATTTGAAACTAGATGAAACGAAAAAGCGACACTAAAAAGAGACAATTGTATGACATCTATAGGATTTAGCCTGCGAGAGAATGAGATAGAATATAGTGTAATATGCGACAGTAGCCTAATGGCAGGGTGCGGACCGCTGAGCTGTCAGCAGCGTGAGAGCTGTCAGCAGCGTGAAGGGGCCCGCAAGGGCCGACGCCTGCCGGGGCTGCGGGCTGTTCGAAAGAGATACCGCGGCTCCGGAACGTAAGGGCACTGAAGGAACACGGATGGTTTTTAGACAGTAAAAGTCTGACACTCCCTTCCGCTCCACCCACAGCGAAAGGCGTCATTAGATGATTTTCCATCCGCAAAAAAAAAAAAAAAAAAAAAAAAAAAGGGTGCGGACCGCGAACTCGAAAGGTTGCGAGTTGGAATCACATGCATCTTTTATTATTTTTATAGGTACCTGTTAATAGTGGTTAAAGGGAATTTTAGTAATGTTAATAACATTGCTAGTATTTTTTTAAATAGTGTTTCCTATTATTTCGTTCTCCTCTTGTGCGGTGCTTTAAAGATGGTTAATATGAACTTTAACTGTTAAAATAAACAGTTAAAAAATTAAAAAATTATCATAGCAATGCTTGAAAAGCAAGCGACCAAGCGCCATATTGGCAACTTTACACTAGAGTATTTTAAAGTTTTATCTTCCACTTGACCGCATCCAGCGTAGAGCAGCTCGAATCGTTGACGACCGAGTCCTTCCCGACCGGCACGATTCATTGGCGCTGCGAAGAGATGTTGCATCCCTTTGCATTTTCTTTCTCATTTACCACGGGGAGTGCTCTGAGGAATTGTTCGGATTAAACCAAATTTCACAAACGCACATCGCGGCATAACTACCGATACCATCCACACCATGTGGATGATTGGCGGTCCACCACTGTGCCACCACCATTTAGAAGATGTTTTCTTCCTCGCACAACTTCCTTATGGAATCAATTACCACCAGCGATTTTTCCGGACCGTATTCACTCACCTGATAGTAAGTGAATTGTGAAAATAGTGTAGGATTTTTTTGAACAAGTGACAATGAATTAAGGTTTAAGTACACAAAATCAAGGACTTTCGGGCAAAGGTTTTCGACGGACATCGTCATCATCATTATTTTTACAGCCCTTGTAGTAATCTACAATCACCTGAGTATTGGCCTCCATCTGATGAGAGATGAATTAGAGCATAATCCACCACTCTGCTCTAGTGCGGGTTGATGGAGTTTTCAGGCCAGTGACTAACCCTCTGTTAATGACGTTTTTTTATAGGGTGACAAACGAGCACACAGTCCACCTGATGGTGTGGTTGCTGAAGCCCATAGACATCTACATCTATCCTCGTTTGCGAATCAAAATGCAGATGCGTTGTCAGCCTTGTGGACTAAGATTGAATGCCTCTTTTCCAGTAAAAAGGGTATCCGATTCTCTACACTCACCATACGAAACACAGCAGCATTAAGCTGCTATTTTACGCTGGTATCCCGTGAGAGCGTGGTCCTTCCCCAGTCGAGCCGACCCATTCGTGCTACAACTGTACTGTAAATATAGCTGCAGTTTGGCTCTACCACGTAACAGATGACATCTATATTATATTATACCTGTAGCATACGAATATTGCAGACAGATCTCTCGCAAAATGGATACCTGATCTTATAAATAATGTGGGCTGTCGTTGAATATATTTAAAATATCGTAAATCAACATTAAATAAATATAAACCAAAATAATTACTATTATACTAATATTATTACTATAACAAGTAATTACGAAATCAGTATAGGTAGGTAAAACACAATTTCGACTAAGAAGGAAATTGCTATCAAGTTTTTAAAATATTCTAATTTTTTTTTTAGGAGAGGGGGCAAACGAGCGTGCGGCTCACCTGATGGTAAGTGACTACCGCCGCCCATGAACAACCGCAACACCAGGGGAATTGCAGATGCGTTGCCGGCCTTTTAAAAAGGAGTAGGCTCTT